GGAATCAATTCTGATCCACTATGTAACTGATAGCTCAATATGAACCTTGAAAGTCGTCGAAGGGCAACATTCATTCTATTGTTGAGCTTTAATTGAAGTTTTAATTTACCTTTATATTTTTCTAAATGTCTAACTGTAACTTTCTACGAGTTTTTCCAGGTATTTCTAGTTTTTATAACCATCTTAATGAGTTTTAGACTTTTACACCAACTATAAATGTTCAAATTACTTTCACAAGAGGTTATACCTTACTAGACCCATTACCATCTACCAACAGATTGCGTCTTGAGCTATTTTTACAAAGTTCGTGTTGATGTTATCGTGCCAAATCATGATGCTTGAAAAAGTTTTAATAATGACTTATTTGGCTATAAAATCTTGTCAAAAAATCCAGTTTTTTTTTAGAAAATACAGTTCCTGTTAGCTTATGAATGATACCGTACGGATTTATGGACACTAACCTGTATCTGCATAGTAAAGTAACGGTGATCAATGGTCATATTTACATTTGATTGTGTCATTAATATATGGAAGCAGCACGAATGTAACTGGCATTCGGATTCACTTAAAACTAACTGAACCAACTTAATAGAATTGGATTTGATATAGTGATTATGATGTAACTGTAAACAAAAGGTCTGCTGACGGCTAAAGTTTTGACATAAGACGATTAATTGGATCTGACTTTGTATTAGATTGCACGACTTGAAATGATATAATTTCAATTAGGAATTTTGTTGATAATGTCAGTTGGCTGTCTTCTGTCTTGTTGATTTTGGTTTGGACGGGCGACATTTGCTTACTATAATTTCGTTTAATTTCTTCAGGCAAGCTGATTGGGTTGTGTGATTTGAAAAGTTGGGATTTAGCAATAGCTTGCTCCCTTTGCTTTATAACAAATCTTCATATTATAACAATAGCTATCTGTAACGGAAGTGGAAACTATCGTTTTTTTTTCTTCTCCTCTTATAATATCTTCTGATTCACTTCGCTGCGGGAATCTAGCATCCCATTAAAACATAGCTATCTATGTAGATCATTTACCTGGTTTCCAGTCAAGTAGTGTCTTTATTCAAAAGATTTGACTGCAGTCTGATAACGAAACGTAAAGACGAAATTACCTAGATGCTCATACGACCGTTTTATATTGCGGTGGCTATAAAGTGTATGTCTTACGATCTGGCAACATAAAACTTCCAGCCAAGTTATGTTAAAAGTCGTAACGTTTTTGGAGCGTTGAAATCTTGTATATGGTAGTACTGCATTAAGGAAATATATAACTAGAAACCTTGAACTTTCAGAAAGAAAGAGAACCTTTGTTACTACTAATCGTTACTAGCGAAAGATTGAGATAAACCTAACAATTTTCCTGTAATTGCTCCATTGTTGTTCCTATTATTGATATGACCTATAGGATCTTATTCTGCAGTAGCGCCAACTAACGAGAACTAAAATAACATAAGTACAATTTCCAAATACTTCTTCGTTCTCTTAAAAATATTATTTTCTTGCAAGCAGTCTTGTTTCCGTAACTACGAGTGAACTATGGGGCTTCTGAGGTAACGTTCTACAAATAAATTATCTTCAAGTTGTGTTAGCCGTCACGTTGTTCTGGCAATATTACGTGCTCAGTGAGAACATAATTTAGGTTTATGTTATGTCTCGACCTCGATCACTGGTGTACAGGCGTGTTCATTACGCAGCTCCTCACTATTGATAACTTCGGCAGTTGTTAATGATCTGAGGCATAATTTGGTCTTATAGAACTGGCCTAGTATCGATAATACGTTTTAGGATATGTATTTTGTGTATGGAATTAGAAATAAACTCCAATCATTTGATGACACAGTTTTTGCGAATCGGAATTTCGGATACTTGTAAGTAAAAATTCAACTGAGCTTGCAAATATACAAACGTCTAAAATAGTCGTAATAACGTGTTCAATGTTCCTAGAGTTGTATCTAGCTCATTTCAGAAGTTAGTATTGAAGTAATGGATAACAGATAAACATTTATAATTCAAAATACTGACCTAATTGATGTTATTTTTCTAAATAGAACTCTGTTTCTTTTTGAGCAAAGTCAATAACACCTTGTTGTTTGCTGACAATGCTTGACTCAAGTTCTGAATGGCGATGCGCAATGGCCCAAATTCAAAGCAACTGTTTGACAGAAATATGTCGATCAAAAAAGATCGGTTTGTTTTCCTGTGCTTGTTCTAATGATCTAAAAACCAAGAAGGATAAAGTAATCGGATAAATAAACTCTTAGATAAAGTAATCATTGAGAATTAAGTGTTTAACGTGATTGTGTAATTGCTTAAGATCTTTTTTTTTATTGGAGTCGATCCATTTTATTTTACTGTGGTCTAGATGTTCCTTTCCTTATTAGGCGTTTTGCACGTCCAGTGTTAATACCACAAAAACCTCAGTACATTATGTATATTTGGTATAATATATTTTACCAGTTAAATTATTATTTATTAGTTTCAATTTAAAAGGTGTGCCGAAACTATTGCGATACAATGGATATACGGATTTTGATATCGAAATACCGAATTTCACCTTGACGACTTTGTAGACGGTCGCGACTGCAATTACTTAGTTAAGTAATTCTTCGGAGACTTTCGGGCTTTCAGTCCTCGTTATACAGATGTTTACCGTCCCCATACAACCCTCATAAAAATGGTGGTCACGCTAAATATAATAAAATACCAAAACAATGGCTACAATTTTTCCTTGGAAGCTTTCTTGGACATAATATAAATAAACATAGTTGCCTCGCGTCACGCGAAAAACATGTCTAGGCGACCTCTACGGTATACTACGTAATAAGTTTATGCAAATTATCAATTAATAAGTCTGTTTATATCTTTATTGTAAATATGGCGGGCGCATTCATGCCTTAGTGTATGAGTAATAGCGTATTTCCCTTTGTATCACCCGATCCCCCTATCTGTTAAATCCCTTCGTGTTTTAATTAAAAACTTTGTTTTGCCGTGATAAAAATCCATGTCATGTTTATTCGTTTCGTTTATTAGGTCGGTATAAAAGCGGAGTTATTTAAACAGGTGTTTTTTATTCATAAGTACTTAAGCTTTATTACTTTTCGTCACGTATTTGTTGGTACTCGTGAAGTAACCCTTTTACTGTAATTTGAAGCTTGGAACGATCCCGCGATGTATAGCATTATTAAATGTTTCTCATTGTATTTTTTCTTTATACGTAACAATAGGTTTCTTTTGCCTTTGAATTAATGGTTAACATGAAAAGAATCTGGTCATTAGAATAGCTTTTGTGTTTTTCCGGTTTTTGTATGAATTTTTTGGCTTGCTCCTGTTTCGTTTTGGTCTAAGGAATATGTTTTGCGCTAATTAACAGATGTTTAACCTGTTTCTTTACGCACTCTTGATATGAGTTGTGTAAGACTGTCAGGCTTTTGACCTCTTAGGGAAGTCCATTTAGTTCCTCATGGGTGTAATTTACGACTTGTGTGCTCTATATCTCCAAGTTTAGGATGGTTTATGTCTGTAACTGGAGCACGTAGACTAGAGGTATGTAGAAATATGGAAGAAAAAAATTGTTGAAAAGCTACATAATAATCAAGGTTCCTCATCCTCGTAAACCAGGCAAAATATCTTTTTTAACTGTTGTACGTACTTTATGCACCAGTAATTAAATCTGGACCAATGCTTATATTCAAAATCGGTATCGTTTGATATTCGATATGACTACAGCTCTAAATGAAATCGTTCACTTACCAAGTATGATTGTATGTACGTATGTGTATGTAACGTGCTTATGGTTGCATTACCAGATTAAAATTCTAAAGTTACATGATTAACCTGTCACTCAGTTGTCGTTTTAAAAACGTATCCTTGTTTCTTTATATTACTTGTTTGTTATTTGTTACTATCTTCTGTTGTTGTATTCGTTATATTAGTAAAATTCATCATCATGTACAGCCTGTCATAGTCCGCTACTAGATTAAGGCCCTTTGCTAAAAAAGTATTTGTCCTATTAGTAGAAAAAAATAAATAACTTTTACGGCCAGTACGACTGGAAATTGTAACATTATTCGTTACACAGATTGTTTCCTTATTAAAACATCGTTCAACAATTATTATTGTTTTCCTGGAAAAGACAACCGATCGAATTTAACTTTATCTTTAGAATCAATACATCGCAGAATGACATACCTTTAATTTAATTTTGTCTGAATGAGTAGTCCTAAACCGCTTCGTGAGTCATTCGTGACGTTGTACGTGATGTTGAGAACAAGCCTCTTTTTTATCCAGATTGGACCTTAAAAACTTTTTGGAACGTTCGAAACTAAAGAGGTCGGTACACTTCGATAAATATCGTTGTTTCTTGTTTGTGGTTCGTTTCGTGTATCATATTCTCCTACTGTAATGCGGTGGCATAAGTAGCTGCAAGTTACTCCGATCTCGGTAATATTTTCGACGTTATTGTGTTGTAATAAAGTATAAAATCTATTTAATGAATTTTACTGTTCGGGCAACTTGATGTGGTAGTCTATAATGATTTATTTAGTTTCTTATTGAATTGTTGACACAACTGCTCGTGTGATTTCGGAGAACGTGTCACGTGGCATCAGTACAATGGGTTTAGATTGAATAATTTTTAAAACACACAGTTCTGTTAAACAATTATTAGCCAACTGACAATATAAGGAAGGTCTTAATTTGAAGAAACGGTTAGGAACTTAGTTCTTGCCGAGATAAAAGCGAACTAGACACATTTTATTTAACTGAGGAACTATTGCGGCTATTTTATAAGATCCAAATATTTGATCATCATGACTGAACAGTCTCTTTTTTGCCTCTCACTTTCTGGTTATAGACTGAATGGTAGCATTTCGGAACCATTGGACTATTTACGTTAAATGTTTATTTCACTCGGATTATCCACTCTAAGATCTACCGTGAAATCTCAATAGAATAATTGTTTAATTAAACATAATGTTTTCTTCCCTTTCCAGCCGATAAACAACGCGGACTTCGTGGTCCCCGTGGAGATCGATGGCGCAGTGCACCAGGTGTACGTTCTGAAGCGGCCGCACGTCGACGAATTCCTGCGGCGCTGTGGTGAACTCTACGAGTGTGTTCTGTTCACCGCATCGCTTGCTAAATACGCCGATCCTGTTGCTGATCTATTGGACAGGTGAGGAATAGAGTTTTTAATCCTTTAAAGTAGTTTAAATCATCATTAATCGTCAGGGGAATAATCTACTGCTTGGACTCCCGAGTTTCCTCTACACAAGAGGGTTTTCTGTAATCTGTTCAGTTCACAGGCAAGTATGAGATCGCAGATAGAAGTCCATGGCAATTCCCTGCCTGACTATGGTCCTTTTCCACATAACGAGAATTTGACATACGTATCCACACTTTGTATCATCACATCTTTGTATCACAATAGGCTCATCCCCTATTACATGGGACTCGTAACATAAATAGTGAAGAGTGGGTGTTACATTGAACAGTGGCATTAAGTACCGTAATGTGCATCTCTGTCTACCCCTTCGGGGATAAATGATGTTGTATGTTGTATGTCCACACTTTGCAGGAAGGTACTGAAGGTCGCGTTTAACAGGTTATTAGAGTTTTATCAGAGCGTTACCCGACCTTTGTCAAATTAGTACCCTTAATCTGTTCTTATGACATCCCGCGATCAAGTGTGGTCACTATTCTGTGTATAACTTTACCCAAAGATCAAACCCAAAGCCTCGCATCAGTCATGATTGCGACCTCAACAAAAAAGCCAAAAGAAATACTTTCCCTCATAATGAAATAGTTATGCTTTCACAAAGTTTACAATATCAGTAATTCTGACAGTTTCCGTTGTCTCATCAAAATTAACCCAGTATGTGGGAACAATGGTGAAACTTGGCCCAACTGTTTCTTGCTAGTTCACATGTTTGAGTCGAGGTCTCGGCCAAACTTAATTATGCATTGAAATGGTGACATAATTTGTGTAGTTCGTGAAACTAGTAACATGTTTGTGGGTCTACTGTCTATCCAAAAGCGACCGTAGACTGTGAGCGTGCGTATTAACTAAATTCTAATTGAATACTTTTATCCAATGGGAATTTTGAGCTATGAGTTAGACAGGGCATTATATTCATAAAGTCATAGGCGAAAAAATGTAAATAAATTGTACTATGTACTACTATTTTAAGTGCGGGAGAGCCATGCTTCGGCACGAATGGGCCGGCTCGACCGGAGTGATACACGGCCTCACAGAAAACAGACGTGAAACATCGCTTGCGTTGTGTTTCGTCGTGTGAGTGAGGTTACCGGAGGTCCAATTACCCTCCACTTCCCCAATTCCTGAATCCTCAACGATCCTCAAACTCCTAATCCCTAAAAGGCCGGTAACGCATTTGTAAGACCTCTGGTGTTCCAGTTGTCCATGGGCGACGCCGATTGCTTACCTTCAGGTGATCCGTCTGCTCGTTAACCGGCTTATGCCATAAAAAAAACTATGAGTATCACCTTTAAATTGACTAAATTGGTAATGTGTTAAAAAACTAACGTTTAAAATAAAAGAACTTAATAGAACTCCATTAAAATAATTAAGTTTCAAGTCAAGTTTGTAAACTTGACGAAGAAATTGGTAACTTTTAATTGGCTTTGTGACTAACAATGATTAAACTTCTTCAATTCTTAATTGTACCGTTTAAGAATGTAACACTCGAATACCCACTTATGGAAACTAAGTTATGTTAATAGTTATGTACTTGGCTTAAACGATTACATAGCATAAAGTTAATTTGTGGTAATTAGAAAATTATGGAATGCGTGAGTGAGTTGCGTGTGAAACAGAGTAATGCTATTTACAGCTAATTTTATTATCTCTATACATGACAGTAGTGGGCTGCTGGTTCTTTTTTGTATTGCCAATTTACGTATTGATAGTGTAATACTGCTCTTATTAACCTAATGAGGGTTTATAGTACCTTGGCTTTCGTCAGAAGCACTGTCGTGGCAGTGAATCAAGATAGTATATTCGTTCCATTTGCGCATGTAAATTCATTGACATTTATTTTCAATGTTTGGATGACAGGATCTTTTGCTATGTTAGCGCCATCTACTGATCGCGAAAACTCATATCACTACATAGTATAAAACAAACTATAACTAACCGCTATCGCCGTCTGTATGTCTCTATGTATGCTTAGATATTTAAAACTACGCAACGGATTTTGATGCGGTTTTTTTAATAGATAGAGTGATTCTTAAGGAAGGTTTATATGTATAATACATGCACATTGCACCCGTGCAAAGCCGGGACGGGTCGCCAGTTATCTATATATTCTTTTTGATATTTCTTACAACGCACATAAATAAGACCACATGGTGGACATTATGGCTTTATAAACTGACGTATTAATCAGTAAAACAGTTTATTACCTTTTTTATATGTTTGCTGTTATGTCATGAAATGATATTTATTTCTGCAAATATGTCACAAAGTAAAACCTTTACCCGTCAATCTTTAAATTACTAGATGAGGGCTTTGGTATGTTCAATCCGTAATTTCACATATTTCTTCTATTTGTAATTTTTACGGTTTACTTTCCCCTACATGTTTAAACTGGACGCAACAGTTGAATTCCACTTGAATACTTCATTATAATTCCACAAATAGGTTACTTACGTATTTTAAATTAACTTCGCATGCCAACATCATTTTCAATCAACAAGTTTGTTTAGATCGGTAACCATTATAGTCTATTATCGGAGTTTATTAAGAATACACGCATCGAAGAACACGCTAAGCTGTAAATTAAACCTGAGAAGAATGAGACTTACTTTTATAACATCTTAGACCCGAATACTTTTTTGTACTAACTGAAGTCGGTCGCGTAGCATTAAAAGTCCTGCAGTACCAGAAATGCCTTGCGGATCATGTAAGAGACCGTTTAAAAACGCCTTTGCGATCGTTTTAAAGAAATTACACGTTTAATTGTTCCCATTTAATGTAGAATAATGTTTGTTTCAGATGGGGCGTGTTCCGAGCGCGATTGTTCCGCGACAGTTGCGTCTTCCACCGCGGCAACTACGTCAAAGACCTGAACAGTCTCGGACGCGACCTGCGGCGTGTCGTCATCGTCGACAACTCTCCCGCCTCCTATATATTCCATCCGGATAATGCTGTGAGTTCTAAATTTATTATCTTAAGTAGGGTAATTATGGTCGAAGAGTGAGTAAGGTTGCTAGAGACCATTCAGCCCATTCCACAGCGACAACGCACTTTTGAGACCTTTGGTATTGTCCATCGGCGGCGCTGATTGCTTACCGACACCTGATCACCTGATCTGTCTGCTAGTTTGTCTCCCGTAATAAAAATCTGGTTAAAGCTGAATAGATGTGATGTGATTTGGAACCTGATTGATAAAGAGTAAACTGTAGAGTTTCTTGCTCGTTCTTCTCCATAGGAATATCCATAGGAATCCACTTTGGAATAATTAAATAGCTTCACTTTTTTATTGACATTCAAAAGTGACTGCCTGGTCTAATTGAAATAAATAATTTTGACATTGAAATTTTCCTGGGGGGTATGTGGAGATGAACATTAAGCGCAACATTCAATTTTCACTAGTAATTGTGGTTTTATTGCAGACGCCATGTTTAATTTGTTTATCGTTTAGCATCTTTCTTACATTGTCAGACAAACGTAATATTTTAAAACAATAAATAACTACTTTATTGAACGAGGCAATTAGCATCAATATTACTTTTGCAAAACAACGAGCAGTACTCAATCAGACTTAAATTAGTACTCGAATATGAATATTGTAAACACTTTCACAGTATAAAGTTAAGATCAGTAATGCGACAGATCACAAATAAATCTGTTTGTAATGAATAACGTGATCAAGTTGATGATATAAACGCAAGCTATGTTATAGTTATTACTCGATGTTTATTTAACATTTTATGTTAATAGATATGATCGCACTTAATGTGTAGTGGATAACTAATGCATTACGTAATACATGTCGGTATTACATCGATCTTGTGGACCTAATATACTCTTGTTTGGTGTCTTTAATTTTAGTTTGCACTGGTTTTTTTATATTACTTTTTACAAATAATGTGTTCGTTTATCTAACTGGCTGATAACATGATGTATTTTCCATATGAAGTGTTACAAAATAAGTGTCAATAACTTAATTAAAACTGTGTAACAAGGCCTTTAGTAAAGAAATAATAGTGTTTGCTAGTAATGGAGCATCATAAATGAGTCATGCTGTCTCGCTAACAACATCTTATAAAGCAATATATTTGTTACATTTTGTGTTCTCTGAGTAATTTCTTTGTGTTAGCTAATATTTAAATGTGTTGATGACAGAAGGCACTCAGATAGTAATATGAACAAAGCGAATTATCTTATCAGAATCAGCTCCTAATGAAAGTTTATCGTTCCAGGTACCTGTCGCGTCATGGTTCGACGACATGACAGATTCAGAACTTTTGGACTTGATACCGTTTTTCGAGAAACTAGCTAAGGTGGACAGTGTATACACAGTGTTGCGGAACTCGAACCACCCGTACAACCCGACGGCCAACAGCTCGCCCGGCACATAGCGCGGCGCCGGCCTCGGCCCCGCCCCCGCCACCTTGTTCCAAACACTCATCAAGAAAGGAGCGAACTTCGTCTTAAGTGCCAATTTTGCCTTCTGGATAGTGAGGACATTATTTCTACCTATTTTACATTTTAGGTATTTCTTAGTGCGTAAGTGGTCTGTATGATGGATTTGTGATGATAATTCTTTATTTAACATTTCCACTCTCTGGTGAGCTTGCAAACGAAGTGTTCGTATATATTTGGACGTAATTCTATCGATATTTTTCGGGTTGACTAACGTATGTTTAACGTGTATTTAAAAAATGCAATCGTCACTCATTGAATTTCATTTTCGTAATTATTCGACAACTTATATCGTGCTTGGGATCAAATACAGATAAGTTAGGATATTTTTACCGTCGTGGTTGCAGTCTTATTATGTATCGCTCATTTCTGGTCTTTTGTCAGAATCGATGGAGTCGATGACGTGTCGCATCACTATGATTTGCCTTCGTCTTGGATGTCTAATTACTAATAACTGTATATTGATAGACTTGTAACATAATCACGGATTCTAAAAATGGACTGGGATTTAAGCAGTAGTATCCAGCACTAGTGAAATGTGTAAATATTTTTATAAGAGAGTAAAGATGGTCGCCGCTTGAATCATGGTTAGAATTAATATGATTAATGTACATACATTTATATTATACATAAACAATTGAATTGTAAGAGTATCGCTCGTGGCAGAACAATAGCACTTAAGGTGATTTGCGTCGTACTGATACCGTGACTCGTGTTACATACGAACTCTTAATGCTGATCTATTTATAAGGATATCGATTTATTCAAATTATTTATTCAACAAAATATTATTTTATAAAGTATAATTTACAATTTGTATCATATTTTTAAGCGAAAAATACTTATTTATAAGTCTTATTATATTGATTTGTGAAGTTTAAATAAAATGTGAAGGAACGCGTGTTGTTGATTATTAAGTTGTGATGTAATACGGGTCACTTTAAGGTTTGTGCACATTAGACGGATCGAGTATTCCATTATCCCACATTACATGTAACATATTATTAACTTTAGTGTGTACATACCTTTGTTTTACGGTAAAACTCCCCCCTAAGTAGTTATTGCATCGATGACAATAAGAAGTCAATCGCGACAGTGTCATATGAGTGTTTTTTTAATTATTATTATTAATTATGAGTAAAATACTTTGTATGCTACACACGGGTGAACGAAGGGACAGATCAAATTGGCATCTAAATATATTCCTTGTTTTTGCTTCTGTGTAGAAGTATAATACTGGCTTAGACCTGATTTTTCTAATACATGATTACAACAACGATTAATATGTTAAGTAACCAAGCTTACTTGTGCCTAAAGCTGCTTGGTTACTTGGTTTTGTGAAGTGAACACGACCCACTCCGCGGAGGGCCACTCGAACGGAACATTGAACGCTTAGTTTAAAAATATTTATAATAAAAATTCATCATCTCAGTATTAACCTAGCTTTGTAGTATTTGATGCCATTTTTACAAAAACATAAAATTATAAAACTAAAATGAATATTATATATCTATGAATTTTAACAAAATATTTTTATGATGGCAATATTTTTGTATGTTGAATTATTGGGTGTCGAGTATTACCAACGTAACGTAGCGACTGCACACGCGAGGCGATAGTGATATTATGGAACGTGTTCTGACAAAGTTTATGATTAAAACGAATGTTTTTGGAAAGTAATGTTTTATTTCAGTTCTAAATTAGCGTTAATGTATCGTGAAATTGGCTTGCTAGTGCATTTATTTTGCATTGCCGCAGAAGTCTGGTGCATGTGCGAAGCTCAATTGATCCGTCTACCCTAACGTAATGATATATCGCATTACCTAGCCTCAAGTGTGGTCGGAGACTAAAGCTAAAATATTAAATCAAAATTGTCTAACTGACTTACGTAAGAATTGATTAAATTAGGTAATACTAAATGGTGCTTTCAGTATTAGTTGATTAAGCAGCTCGAAATTATTGACTGTTAAGTAAAGTACGCACATTCGGTTTGTACGATTGCTAAACAAAACAATATTCAAACTGAGAATATCACAATTGGCGGACAAAAGTAACGTGTATTGATATATAAACCTCCTTGGCTCGCATGCCATGTATTTATTTGTTTTAATTGCTTAGCAAAACGATTTTATTGTTTATTTTTTGTATTATCCTTTGATGTGGAACTATTATTGTTTTGTAGGAGCTTGTAAATAAGATTTTTATTAACTTAAAACTGATTGAAATTGATTTGTTTTAAAGATATCAAATGTAGATGATCACTTTCTCTAAATATACGCGTTAGTTTGTTATTTAGTGACTACGGTGTATGTATATACCTTATACATATGTAGGTATATTTACGCTAATGCTAGTTGTATCTTTGATATAAGCATATTCACACAGTGCGCTTTGAATCCACGTTTGTACCGAGGCCATATAAGTTAGACAATTATAGTCCTCCGAAGCCAATAGATACTCCTTGTAGTACCATTGTTGAAGAAACGGGTGCATATTGTAGAGAAATAGTTCAAAGTTTTAATAGAGGATACATGGACTTTTATGTATTCATATAATAAATATGATGACAAAAACTATATTGTTCTGGTTATCACATACAATAAGATATACGACGGACGCGTATTATTTTTTAAGATCAAACGTGACCGTTGGTTTTAAATATCGAATGACGTCACGCCTTACTATTGAGCGATGACGTAGCGAGCCCCACTCGTAAACTTTAATTTGCTTTGTCCAAGTAGTTTTTGTTTAAAAAAAAATGTCTAAATATTTTTAGTTGTTCTACTGAAAGACTAAGTATATTTTTGTCATTATCCCTATTTATTTTACATTTTGCACTGTTTGCGTGTGGTGCTGTTTGTTGAAGCTATGTCCCACGTGTCTGACTGGTGTAATTCCTTTAAGGAATTCTAATATAGTGCTTATTATACAATTTTAATAAGAAAAGTGTACTACTTCAAATTGTTGTCTTTTATTATCTATCTAGCCTATTCATGAGAAAAGTTGCTATTGAATTACTAAACCGGTAAATAAATTAATTTTGGGACAATTACAATCTGATAGACAGCGCATCTTTAAAAGTTAAGTATCTTTAGATCAGAATACGTATACTGTTAGTCAAATGTGCGCCCGATTTCAAGCTACGCGCATATAAATGAAAATAAGCTTTAAATGACATTTTTTAAATCAGTTTTGTTTTCATCAATGTGTACGCGGCTTCATACTGAACTATGTGTATTGCAGATTACACACGATCACCATAGACCCATGTAGACAGCATTTATTTGTAAGCATTAACATAGACTTAGCATGTTATAGTAATATATACGTTGATTTCTTTAGACTAAGGAATCTGTTGTTTTAAATGACGCGTTTTCTTATAATGTATTTTAGATTCGTAGGACCTATCTGTGACCATCTTATTTAAAACACTCTATTTTATCAATTTTTATTGTCATATTTTTTATTATTATATTATCGTCCAACTATGTTATTTAGGAGCAATTAATTATTGTTAACGTTTATTTAAAAATGCATGCAATAAAATTCGATTGATATTTTGCTAATAATGTCGTATTTTTTAATAATGGGTATGAAATAATTAAATGTAATACTTTGTCTAACATTATAACGAGTTGGTATCGTTGTTGTATCATTAATTTGAATTTTTTTATGTAATTTATAATAACATTGATGTTTAAGGACTTTGGAAGTGTATTTGCAATAACTTGTTTTATTATTTTCTTGTAATATTTCTGATTGAGCTTATTTGTTGAAGTGATTGTTTGAGATTGTTTCTGTCGGTGCTTTTTTGAGTATTCGATGTAAGTGGGACTTGGTGATTACAGTATAATGTTCATATTTATTCACGTATGTAGTTTACTCCACTCCACTTGTACCTACGTAAGCTGAAGCCTAAGTTGTTGTTGTGATTTTCCCTTGAACTTAAGTAAAAACCAAGTGTCACTTATACTTTAGTCAAATTTTTTGCAGTCGTTATGACTGCTCAGTATTTAATTCGTATGCAATCGAGTCGCGTTAACTGCTTACTAATTCACCCACAATCGATAATGCCGTGTTTTTATACACCCCGATTGTGATCACGCGACATGAAGCTGCGCGGAATCTATTCACTTGCACTCTCAACTTTAATTGCTTGTAAACAAAGTACAAAATACAACAGCAATGCTGGTTTTAACGTTACGAACAAAATGTATGAGTCAGTTAATACGATTCTTTAAAATAAGGTTGTGCTTATGCTGTACCACATATCTTTTGTATTCGAGTCGATCGGTCTTCAATTCTTGCCTCTAGGAAGTTAATTATGTGAAAACGAATACTCTCGAATTTTTATACCCTTCGATTAAACAATAGCTACCCACCTGTCACTGCCTTAGAGGATGAAATTGCCCCAAATTTTACTCAGAGGGCTTAGTACGACTCTATTTTACGTTTATCGATGTACTGTTCAGCACTCTGATTGGCCGGCTTTAATCAACTGACCAATCAGAGCGCTGCGGTTACGTAAAACAATCTCCTACTAAACCCTTTGTACCTAGAGCGGTATGTACTATATATAACGAATAGATATTTTATATAAAAATGCTGAATAAATTATACTGCGCTCTGCAATAATAGGCTTCCTCGTGTTACACGTGTAAATGATAATAGAAATTTATTTATATTCAATTGTATTATATTTGTATATTGTTTTACTTTTACGCGAGGTTTTGTATTGAGCTTCTGGGTTTTACTATGTGGTGTGATGAAGAGAGGGACTAAGGTTCCTTGTTGATTTCTCTACGAAATTTATTGTCCTTTCATTACATCTTATTAAAACCCTATCGGTCTCGTCACTGCCGCGCCACGCAAATTGTAACCCAGACACCTGATGGAAATCAAATACTCAAAAATTTATTTAGTTGTAACTTTATTTTTTGATAAAAAATATAATAATTATTTATGACACTAATGCCATTTGTGTCCGCGGCGGTGAATAGATTGATTCTATCTATATTTGGTTCAGAATTTTGACGCCACGTTGCACCGTGGAGCTGGTTTATGTGATACTTTGTAATGCCTCGCGTAAATATTACTTGCGTCAATTTACCGCTCTTCCTCATAAATTGTATACTACATATTTGAGAATTTATATAAAATATCCCCGTTTCAATGTGCTTAAAGGATATATCTTCCAGCTATTAAATTAGACAGTGCAATAATACTTCCTCTAAAATATACATAAAATGTATTATGGACTTAAAGGTTTATAATTAAGATTCAATTTCACGTAACAATGAATTTTAACAATAACTAGAAGTTTGCATATTGTAGATATATTGTACAGCATTACGAATTCGATGGACTCTATAGAAATACAGGGCGTTGTGACTCTGAGGTGTTATGTATTTTTATAAAGTTGCGTCCAATATCGGTATTGTGAACATTTTGTATCAGACTAGGCACGTGAGAGGACTATAATTATATTTATGTAATAATAGCCATGAAAATAATAGAGGGAGACACGAGAGTAGCTAGGTAACATTTACCTGAGACGAAATTTATATAATGGTGTACATTTTTGATATGACGTTGTACAAAAGAGACATTTGGTATGTTATTTTATAGGAATGAAATAAATAGCATTAATAAATATATCCGTGTTTTTAATTTAATATAAGGCCCTTTACAAAACATACTCCCTGTATGTTGACTTGTTCAGCTATATTTAACTTATGTCCATAGAACATACGTACGCGTCCATTCAGCTGTCCGCAATTGAATGGACACGCACGCGTCTTCATACAAACTCGATGGTTTTATTTAGCTTAAATCCACTGATTCTGATATAAATAAAAGTCAATATTTTATTGCGAATTTTATTAAATGTTAAATATATATTTTTTAAATATTAAAACACACAATTCACGTAGGACGAAGATATAGTAATTAAACATTATGTATGTAACATTAATGATATGGTACTTTACAATTGCATTCGTATAACAATCAACAATCGATATTTCTTATTTTATGGAGTAGGTACTCGTTTATCACTTCTTGAATGTTTGCAACACTTTTTTGGGGTTACCAATTTATAATAAACAGTTATCTACATGTAAGTAAACAAAGATTTCGTTGGTTTCCTAGCCACCAGACCTGTCACGTGGAGGACTTAATGGGTTGCCGGGGCTCCGGCTCAAAGTGCAGGAGTAGGAACGGGGTAGTTTTTAGTCAGTAAGAGTCTGACACTTCCTTTAGCCTCACCCAAGGCGGTTGGATAGTCATTGGATGATTTTACCCCCCTCAAAAAAAAGAAGTAAGTAGAAAAAATACTTAGATGTTGTATAAAATGAAATTACAATTTACAGATTTCATTTTCTAGAAATAAGGGAATTATGTAAATAGTTGTAACATTATTAAATGGCAACCACCTTTTCTCAACAACAATTAACAGTAAATACTTTATAGTTCTGGGTCAGGACGTTACATTTCACAGTGTGGATTTATTCTTGCAGACAAACCGCCATGAGAAAAAACATAATATTGTTGTTTATTTTATAATAAACAAACATTTTAAAAGACCACAATTATTTACGCTACAGCCACCTAAGACCAAAAATCTAACCTCTTTGCAACCAGTGTTGCCACTAAAAAACACGCTACAGAATAAAAACAATTTTCACACAGCAACACAAGACAGTTAAATACAAAAATAACAATTTGTTCGCTATAACAATTCTCGTTTGTACTACCAGACCTTTGGATTATTGCTTATTATGTTAACCTATTAGTTTTTAACCCTTTAACCGCCAAGATTCTGAACTTTCAACTTACCTCCAGCGCCACGTCACTTTAGGTATAAGTTGGAACAGTGTTGGGAACACTTAATATCGATGCATATATTCTTTATTAATTAAAAAATTAAAATCAATGTTTTATTTACCTACTTAATAAATAATCTAAAAATTTTCAATCTTCAAACGAAGTATACGAAAATGTGTATTCGGGAAATGGGCACGGCGTCGTCCGTTCTCCTGCTGGCGACGGTGACGATGCTCCACGAGCATGTCGTTATTAAATTTAATATTTTCATGTAAACTTCTGAGCGGATTTCCGACCGTACGGTTTCCAGCTCAAAAGGTTTTAAAGATTCAAAGTATTCATTTCGTGGATCACTTGGTCTCTGATCAAAAACTTTTGCGTCACCATCTTCTAACTTTGCATAATGGACACAATTGGTTTTGACTGTGTTGATTTATTTGAGAAATAACAAAAACCCAAAAAAGGGGGTACAACACTAGTTGCATTGAGTGATAAATGTTTAACGTGATTTTACGGTGACGGCGCTAAGGCAACTCACAATACAGCGCTATAATCTCCTTGGCCGCACGTAATATTACGATGATGGCGACCGGCGATTGTCCGCACTAGTGCGGTTCTGCGTTATGAAATTTTTATATTATTGTTATAAATATTAAATAATTTTAAACTTAAATACATTTTAATTAGTACAAATACTTGCATCAAAGTAACACTATGGTTATTTTCTAATGAAAGTATACACTTTCATTGCAAATAGTGACAGTAATATCTATAGTGCCTTGTTTGTTCTTAGACAACCTATTAAGTATTTTTCGAATTCGCCCCATCCCTAGTACTCGTAAAATTACGTGATTGGCGATACAGATAATGGAGACGGTGACCACAATTTAATTAAACCTCAAATTTCACAGTATTTATCACTCAAAACATTGAGAAATATCCATAACAATAAAGATTATAACCCTTCATCGTGAAATTGACATATTTTATATGGAGTTTGTGCACTATAAGATTTTTTTTAATAAAATAACGTGATTGTACGTATGTGGCGATTCGGACACAGCTTTCGAAAACCGTAATTTTACGTTGTCGGCGGTTAAAGGGTTAATTAATATCATTAATTTAAAACATAGTGAATGAATTAATGAAAAGATCGATATATCTTAAGGTGTACAGAAAAATCAACCATATCACATTGGAATAAGGTCGGTTTGTCTCAAATTATTCTGATTCACTCACTATGTTTCACATACTAACGCTAAACGGTGTACAAACAATTTTGGCACTCAACTAAACTAACATACGGATCAAAATCCTTTAATACAATAACTAAAATATACAAAAAGTTGCCTAAATGTTTACAAATAAATACTTTCATAAGGTCACTCTAAAATAATATTTATACAATGGTGTTAGGGTTTAAAGTCTTCTAAAGGTGGGGTGAATATGGTTAATTTGGGGCAAACAATAATAATAATTAGGTTCTTTATGGAATGATCTATACAGACTTTCCGAAATTTTTTTTCTACAATAAGTGATACATATTTTGGACTGGAATTTACACTAATTTAAATGGAAAGAACTACAGAATGGAACTAATTAGGGTCTAAATAATATTTCAATACTAATTACATTTCGCTACTACATGACTTAGGAGTTGTATAGAAAGTATGACACCTAACTGCAATTTAAAATTGAGTTAAACTATTAAAAATACTGGTTTACTCATATTGAGAAAAGCTCTACTAGTTTCGAATCATAGTGTGACTCTTCCTTTTATGAGAGGCGTGCGCGGACGTGGCAACATCGCGCAGTCTACGACTCAGTATTTTTAATTAATTTTGTAATTACATACTATACAGATACAGTGATAAATTAATTAAAATACTATACGGCTGCTACACATAGTTGTCTTTTTCAAAATTGTAATAAAATATAAATTAGTAATAATATACATGCATTGTTAAATAACAAACCAAATACAACTTGATTTATCTAACTAAGTATAGGTAGATATATGGAACTTAACATTTCATAGTATCAACTGCATTTGAGCCTCGATTCGAACATAAAGAATCGACACAATAGTTATAGTTGCACAGTATAAAATAGTAATAAAAATAAATTAATATCATTGCATCAGATTCTTTTATTATGAGTGTGTTAAAATAATATTAAAAAAACACAAGTATATCAATACGAGACATGCTGAATTAACTAAAAATTACAAATTACTCAATTAAATATACTGAGAAAAGTCTAACTAGTTTTGACTCACAGAGGGCCTCTTCCTCCAGTAGGCTGCGCGGCATCACCGCGACCGCGCACGTTGCTCATGAGGAAAAGTCCCTCTGTGAGTCGAAACTAGTCGAGATTTTCTCAGTATGTTTATGTGAGTAATTCGTAGTTTTAAATTAATCAAAAACCATCGAATCACGTTATAGGCACAGACAGTGATGGTCAACATATTTGTTAAAGTATATTATTATCACCATTATCATCATCATCCCGGGTTTGTCCACAGCTGGACATAGGCCTGTTATTTCTTAAAAAAAAGTTGCAGTTCTAAAAATATTGTCGACAATTTTGTTTGCAACTGTGTGATCACCTGTTCAACTGCTCAACAACGTGCCGTGGGTTAGTGCTTCAAACGAAATTGTTTTAATTAAAAAATCCATTGCAAAAACACTGAACTACTATTTGTCTTAATCATTATGTTTTCGGCTTACTCACGTACTGGACTAGTTTGAATGCTAGAGGCTCATATTGAAACAGTTACGTGACTAAGCTGAAAACATAATAAGTAATCTAGTATGTCTCAAGAAAGTTTTAATATAACTATTTGTGTGACCCACAAATTGATCCGGGTCTGTGTGTCATATGTATGTGAAATTATATATTATGTTTGTAAACGCACCCACACAACACATAAAAAGATCTTATGCCGGAATACTGAAATGTTACTCAATTTTAAGTCGGGCTCAAATATCGTGCCATCTCTTTCATTTTACAAAGAATTAGCAGAGACAAAACTATACTTAAGCGCGACTTAAAATTGAGTAGCGTTTCAGTATTCCGACATTAGTACAAGTAAAAGTTTTTAATAAAAGGGAACAAAAAATAATGTTTGAATACACATATTTCAGTAGATATTTTGAACAATGTCAAAATTTGTACGTTTCATTCACTTTACAGTATATATCACTCCACTACGTAAAATACATTTTACAATTATATAACAAGAAGAGTTTCGTAACAATTATATCAATGGTTTAGGACGTATACTATTTGTTTACTGGGGTAGGCAGAGGTCCTTCGATCTAGTTATCGATTTTATTACGAAAAGCAAAGTAGTTGACGTTCTGTAAGGTTGTTGAGACCGGAATCCCTTTCACAATTTTATAATAGTTTTTAAATAAGACAAAGCTCGAATCAGCTCATCAGTCGGATATGGTACTAATAAGACTGCGAAGTCCAACTAATATTTTAATAGCTCTTTAAGGAATAAAAATTCTAAGCTTGTTTGTTTTAAACGCTGAAACTGCTGCATACATTTAAATGAAATTGAAATCATTAAGACATTTCGGTAAATAAAACTGTGATACAGTAAGACACTAACAAATTGATCGAACAAAATTTTTACTAAATTAGCCCAAATTTAGTTTCATTATGGAGCCGCGGAGAACTTAACGAGTTGCTGAGATTCCGGCTCAAAGTGCAGCAGTAGGAACGGGGTGGTTTTTAGACAGTAAGACTCTGACACTACCTCTCGGTTCACCCGGGCGGGAGAAGTCATCGGATGATTAAAAAAAAACAGATTCAGTTGCATATTTTTTCTTGGAACCGTATTTTTTTCTTAATTAATCTATACAAATGGTATACGCCCTCAAATATCTAAGCTAAAAGAACACCTAGCGAGTACTTATAGCAAATTATTGCGCAAGCTACAACTAAATGTACGCACCATATGTATTGCGAGATCAATCGTTATTACACACAATCATACACACGTCCCGTCCGTCTGTTATTCCGAAGTTAGTTGATCGACATTTTCTCTTGTAGTATTTGGAAGTAACATGCCTGGAAATGAAAAAGATATTATGTAGAAAAAATAAGAGAGAATCTGTTAGGTACATAAAAGATTGTGATTTGTGTTGGTGTCGTCAAAGTCAAAATCATTTACATATTTCAATTAGACCAGGAAGGCACTTTTGAACGTCAAAACAAAGTTAAAAAAAAAAATGTCAGTCTGTAGGTCAGTCCTCTAGTTAAGCTATTTGCTCGTTCCAAAGTGTAGATTCTTATGGAGAAGAACGAGCAAGAAATTCCATAGGTTACTCTTTTCCAATCAGATTCTCAATACAATATTTTTGGAAACATTGTTTCGTTGGTTTAATTATGTACGAAACTGCTGGTTGGATTTTTTGATAAGATTTTGTTTATATTATTTTTTTATATGTTAAGTTAGGTTATATGGCAATAGGCTCACCCTCTATTACATGGGACTCATAACATAAATAGTGAAAAGTTACATTGTACAGTGGCATTAAGTGCCGAAATGTGCACCTCTGCCTACCCCTTCGGGGATAAAAAGGAGTGATGTTATGTTATGATTTTGTTTATATTACAATCATATTTCACTCAAACATAATATGTCCAGCAGCTGTAGCCAAATGCCATTTAGCGCTTGTCTACATGTAGAAAAGAAAACCAAAATATATGGAATTGACGTTAATTTTGACACTTGTCAGTGTCATCCCCATACATTTTGATTTCTATTCTCTCTGTAGACAAGCGCTAAAGTGGCGTTTGGCTAATGGCTATGTTTTTGTCTGAACTATGATTTTAGGTTTTATAGGATAATAGTTGCATATTAATTGAATTATTGACTGCCTCATTGGCCGAGTGGTCGCAAGTGCGACTGCCGGGCAAGGGGTCTCGGGTTCGATTTCGGGGTCGGGCAAAGTATTACTGGGTTTTAAAAAAATCTCAGTAGTAGCACGGAGTCTGGAATTGTGCCCGGTATAAGGCAATAGGCTCACCCCCTATTACATGGGACTCATAACATAAATAGTGAAAAGTGGGTGTTACATTGTACAGTGGTATAATGTGCACGGCACCCCTTCGGGGGTAAAAGGCGTGATGTTATGTTATGTTATAGATAGATAGTTTTCATTCCCTTCAGTGTTGTTTTAGTCACTAGGGAAAGAGTATGTTTTATCACTGCACTGTAACAACGTCTAATCTTTAAGAATTGTAATCCTCCATCATACAAGTATCAACTTAAAAACCTTATTAATAAGTTTCAAATTACCTTAAGAGTGGTGAACATGAGTCCCAACTCTCCGTGTTGCATGGCCGGCTCGAGGAAGTCTTCAATAAAGTGTATCTCGGAGCCGAGCTGTAGGATCCGAGCTCTCACTACCACGAAGTGAAACACTGGGAACAACTCGTCCATACTCCAGAGGTAGTTTGAACCTGGAAATTTGTGTTGACAAGTTAGTTTTTACACAAATATGGTATATCTGTACACACATACGGTATACACAAATACGGTGTACCGCCGGTTTTTTGTGAAGCCGTGATATCACTTCGGACGATTTGGCCCGTTCGTGGCCAGGTCGGAGGGATGGCTCTCGATAAAAAGAACAAAACAGACAGAATTATTGAAAATTTAGTTTATCTGAAAATCAGATATTAGACACTTTACTTGGCAGTCATGCTTGGATACAAGCGACTAACAACGTAGAAATTAAGAATACTTTAGCTCTTCCATACTTTTACTAACTTGAGCTTCATTGGTATGTACCTAATAGTACCTATATATTAACACTAGCTACTTCCGCGCGGTTTCACACGCTCTGCTCAGCTCCTATTGGTCGTAGCGTGAAGTTTTATAGCATATAGCCATCCTCGATAAATGCGCTATCCAACACAAAAAGATTTATTCAAATCAGACTTGTAGTTACGGAGATTAGCGCGTTCAAACAAACAAAAAACAAACTATTGCGCTTTATATAATAGTATAAGATATAAGATACCAACGAAGCAGAAAATCAACACAACAAAAATAACAAAGTTGTTACAAAAATCATTCAACATCACATACCCAACTCCTGTTGTACAGCAATAGTCATCTTCTGGAAGGTGCTTCTGATAACGAGAAGCTTCTCGATCGGTGAGAAGGTGGTTTTGAGTTGTTGCAGCGTCTCCACTGCTTCTTGGAACAGTTGCTCTTTGAGTGGCGACGTGGGGGACAACTGGTTGTTAGGACAGGTATAGCCTACCCAGAATTTTCTGGAAAAAAATGGTAAACTGTAGCTTATGCTTTGTACGGTAACTGGTTTCGTTGTGTTTCTATTAAAATTATAGGGCCGTTAAATT